AATAAATAAATAAATAGGAACTGTATTGTGTATGCCACAGTGGCATCTTGTTTATGCCACCTTATATTGTTAGATATATGTTTTTTGGAAGAATGCCCATACTGGGCAGCTTAGTGAAAAACCCTACTACCTCAAAATAAAAAAATCTAAAAGGGGTAGAGATGGTACTCAGTGAGAAGACCCTAGATTTCAGTCCTACTGTTGCCAAGGGAAGAAAAAGTGATTGAGAAAAAAATGACAAAGATAATAACATGTAAAAAAGAATATATAATAAAACAAGTTGTGGACTACAGTGCCTGCTTAGGCAGAGCACAGTGGCCAGGGTTTGAGGATTGGGTGTGGTGGCGCATGCCTGTGATCCCAGCGCTTGGGAGGCTGAAAACTGGATCACTCCAAGTCTGATCTACATAGTGAGACCCTGTAGACCCTATACTACATACATAAAACAAATAAAATAAAATGTTCTTGATTTTTTTAATCACATTTTCTTCTCCTTTGTGTCACCAAAAGGATTTTTAAAGAGGAATATAATTAATATGTAACTAAATACACAAAATACTGTACAGACTTAAGATTGTTGCTCTCGAGTCCCACTTTTATTTGTGGCTTATGAATGTAGGATGACATCACATTTTGTGGATTATCCATGATGTCTAGCCACCTTCTTATTGCTGTCATTGTTAGTATATTGCAGGAACAAGCTGGGAACTTTAGGGATTGCAAATGAGTGTCTGAGGGTATGGAATAGGTGAGCATTACTTTAAGAACTCAAGCCAATTATATATGTTGATCATGTATCTCCTACTAGAAAGGTACACTGTGGGAATAGAGCTCCCTTAAAAATTCACATCAGAGAATTGATATCTATAGCCAAGAACCTAAAATCCATTGGTTACTTATTTATAGTAGTTTCTGGGGGCTTGGAGGATTTTCTTGTATTAGCAAAAGAAAGCAAAGCCTATATAAATATGCTTTTAAAAAATCTCCAAGAATTACCTGTTTATGTGGCCGGGGAGATGGCTCAGTGGCATAAGCACTTCCCTGAGTTCAATTCCCAGTTCTACAAAAAAAAAAAATTACCTGTTTATAATGAGAACTTGGGGAAAAGTATTTTTGGCATCTGTTCCTCTTATTTTCTATCCCTGGATGATGTACTAATACACATTTTTTATGATCTATTTTTTCACCTATCTGGCTAATATTAATATTTCTCCAAGTCATTACATCGGACCAGGGAGATAGCTCAGTAGAATAAGCACTTGCCTGGCAAGTGCAAGGTCCTGAGTTCAGTACTCGGTACCACAAAAAAAAAAAGCCAAATCATTAAATGGTCTATATGCTTTTTAATAGCTGCATGGACTGAAGATAGACTTTCATTTCCCTAGTCTTCTATTATAGGCCTTTAAGTATTTTCTACTAATACACCATTGCATATCTATAGATAAATCTTTTCATATTATTTTGTTAGGGAAAGATTGCTAGACAGAGACAGTAGTCAAGCAATGTACATATTTTTAAAGTTGATAGATGTAAATTCATTTATAGAAATTCTGTATTAAAAGTTATAATGTTTTACAGTTCTTTGTTTTGGTTTTTGTTTTTTATATTTTTAAGGAAGGCTCTACAGGGTGTTCAGGGTCTCACTACTAGATCGGACTTATAGTGATCTGCCTGTTTACAGACTACCAAGAGCTGGGATTACAGGAGCGCACCACCATGTCCAATCTCAGTTGCCATCTCAGTGCACCCTTGGGGTGGGGCCAGCACCACAGGCCTGGGGATCGAACCCCCAGCCCTGCACCTGCTTGCAGGTGCTTTAATCCACTGAGCTATTTGGCTGGCCCTATTTTAAGGTTCTGAATGTAGTCAAACTTTGTCTTACACCATTCTGGTTAATCTTTGTAGTTAGTAAATAAAATGAAATCCAGCTATATAAAAGGAAAATGGAAAGTTATTAGTAACTTAAAACATATATGGTATCCTTTCAACTGGGGAACTTCAAGAGTACCATTACAAGTTACCCCAATGTTCTAATAGTGCAAATGCTAATTTTCTTCATTAACTTCGATTAAAGTGAGATAGTGTGCTGTATCCTATGTGAAATATATTGATTGTGATTATTATAGTGATGTCAAAATGAAATTAAATAGCTTAAACACTGAATTTTTTACTCATCCTAAAACTTATTTTTTTTTTTAATTTTAGCCACATAAAGAAGATCCCTAACAGCCACTTCTCAACAATTCTATAGCTAACTGATGTAACAATGGTACTAATATTGGGACGCAGATTAAACAGAGAGGATCTTGGGATGCGCGATTCCCCAGCAACTAAGCGTAAAGTTTTTGAAATGGACCCTAAATCTCTGGCAGGCCATGAATTTTTTGACTTCTCTTCAGGATCATCCCATGCTGAAAACATACTCCAGATATTTAATGAATTCCGAGACAGCCGCTTATTCACAGATGTTATCATTTGTGTGGAAGGAAGAGAGTTTCCTTGCCATCGAGCTGTTCTTTCAGCCTGCAGTAGCTACTTCAGAGCTATGTTTTGTAATGATCACAGAGAAAGCCGAGAAATGTTGGTTGAAATCAATGGTATTTTAGCTGAGGCTATGGAATGTTTTTTGCAGTATGTTTATACTGGAAAGGTGAAGATCACTACAGAAAATGTCCAGTATCTTTTTGAAACCTCCAGCCTCTTTCAGATTGGTGTTCTTCGGGATGCATGTGCCAAGTTCTTGGAGGAGCAACTTGATCCTTGTAACTGCTTAGGAATCCAGCGCTTTGCTGACACCCATTCTCTCAAAACACTCTTCACAAAATGCAAAACCTTTGCATTACAGACTTTTGAGGATGTGTCCCAGCATGAAGAATTTCTTGAGCTTGACAAAGATGAACTTATTGACTATATTTGTAGCGATGAACTTGTTATTGGTAAAGAGGAGATGGTTTTCGAAGCCGTCATGCGTTGGGTCTATCGTGCAGTTGATCTGAGAAGACCGTTGTTACACGAGCTCCTGACACATGTGAGACTCCCTCTGTTGCATCCTAACTACTTTGTTCAAACAGTTGAGGTGGACCAATTGATCCAGAATTCTCCTGAGTGTTACCAGTTATTACATGAAGCAAGACGATACCACATACTTGGGAATGAAATGATGTCCCCAAGGACTAGGCCGCGCAGGTAGGAAGACTGTTTATAAATACTGTGAGCAAATATTTGGTTTAGTTATTTTTCATCATTTATTTTTCTTCTCTTTTAAAAATTAATACATATTTGCAAAACATAGTAACAGTCATCCTGGGGAACAGGTACATTTATGTATCACATCTAAGTTATTTTTAAAATTTTTTATAATTCCTCAGTCCAGTCTCAGTGTAGTCATTTATATGTTTAGTTTACATGTTGCTTTTTACAATTTGAGACTTATTTTGGGCTACATAAATCATAAGAATGAAAGCTGTAGTGAAGAATAGGTTCAGCAATGGCTTTTTCTCATTATTATTCTATCAAAGAATTTTGGCAGAAGGCCTGTGTAACTGCTGAGGCAGGAGAATCATGGTGAGATTGAAACCAGTCTGGGCTACAAAGTGAGCTCAGGGCCAGCCTGAGCTGCATAGCAAGACCATGTTTCAAAAAGACAAAAAAAAGAAAGAAAATCTGAACTTTCTATAAATTAGATACAATATTGAGTAGCTAGTATCACAACAAATTGATATAATTCTTTGTATTAGAGTACATTGTTCTTCAGTTATTTGAAATTATTAGAAATAGTAGTTTAAAAAACATGTACAGGGGCCAGCAAGATAGCTCAGTGGTCTAAAGCACCTGCTCAGGCAAGCTTAGGCAAAGTGCAGAGACCGCAGTTTGATCCCCGCACCACATGCTGCGCCAGCCCCACCAGGGCTGAGCTGGCCACAAAACAAAGAAAAAAAAAACAAACAAACAAACAAACATGTAGGACATTTTATTTACAGTCTTTTTACACAGGACAGAAATCACGATTTTATTCTACAAATACACTAATCTTTTTTTAAGGACACTCAGGTTGATCTTAAGAAACTTGGACCTGTCAAGCATGGTGTCACATGCCTGTAATCCTAGCACTTGGGAGATTGAGGTAGGAGGATTGCTGTGAGTTCCAGTCTATCCTGGGCTACATCAGCAAGTTCAAGGCCAGCCTCCACTACATAACAAGACCCTGCCTGGGGGCGAGGGGGAAGGAAAGAAAAGAAATTTGGAAGATCGAGGTTCCTGGATGCATTCATTAAGAAGGCTAGTCTAAGGGCAGTGTGATTTTTAGCTTTGTCAGACTTTTTAAGGCACAAGATATACCTCCAAAGAGAAAATTTTCCAAGCAGAATCCCCTTGTAGTAGACGAAATGTTCTGGGGTCAAATGGGGCTAATTAATGTACTCGCCCTGCATATGTCATGGTATTAGAGTGAGAACTAGTGGTTATGGTTGTAAAACCAAATTAAGTTAATTATTAATATTACCTATAAAGACATGACCTGAGTAAAATCAGATCACAGCCTCAGTGTCTATCCATTCCTAAGTAACTTATTACTTGATTTCCAAAAATGTATTTTACATCCAATTTTAAGGGAACCAACTCATTCTGTGGGCTGCGGAGATAGCTCAGTAGAATAAGCGCAGGTTCCTGAGTTCAATCCCTGGTACCACAAAAAAAAACCCAAAAACTCATTTTGTATAGTGAAACATACCACATCACTTTTTTTAGGAGACCAGTAGGAAAAAACAAATTATAGTCATACTGAATTTTTAGGCCACCATAAATGCAATAGGACTATTTATGTGGGCTTTAAGTGAGAAGTGTGACAACTCTGCCATCACCTTCTACCATTCTTTCACTTGTCCGTTACTGTAGGTTAGCATCGGTTCCTAAAAATGTCCTCTAAACAGCTCATCTTCCCACTGCTTCAACCACAGCTCCTTCCTCTGACCTCTGCTCCAGTCACTACTGAAACCCCTCTTGAATAGGTCATCACTGGCCTCCTGTTTTTATTTGCTAGCCTTTTTCTGTCCTTAGGCAGCCTGATCCTTGAGCTCGCTTTGTAGCCCAGGCTGGTCTCAAACTCACAACGATCCCCCTGCCTCAGCCTCCGGAATGCTAGGATTACAGGCATGCACTACCACACCTGGCACTTTTATTTCTATATTTCTTTTAAATTATATTTTTTATCACTTCAGTGTGCATCTTTTTAAAATAATAGACAAAAGAGCATTATTACAACTAATGTTAAAAATAATTCAGGAGCCAGGGAGATGGCTCAGTGGAATAAGTGCTTCCCTGGCAAGCGCAAGGGCCTGAGTTCAATCCCCAGTTCCCCCAAGAAACCCCCAAAGAAACAGTAAGTCATACTGGGCCAGGGAGATAGCTCAGCAGCATAAGTGCCTGCCTGGCAAGTGCAGGATCATGAGTTCAATCTCTGATACCAAATATAAAAAAAAATAAAACAGCAAAAGAATAATTCATACTATCTCAGACACAATCCATGTTCAAATTTTTTCCAAACTGTTCTTTAATAAATCTGGATCTAATTCAGGCTCACTCATTACATCTAGCCATTTCCAGGAAAATCTCTTTTATTCTAAAACAGTTCTTTTTCATTATGGCTTGTTGATGGAAAAGTTGTCCAAAAAAATACTATGCTTTTTGAATGAGTCTGGTGTCTTTCCTGTGGTGTTACCTAGCCCATTTCTTAGAGATTGAGAGTTGGCAGAAAAACCTTCATTTTGATGTATACTAGTTAAATATGTTGTGGCTAGAATTCATCCTACATAATGTTTACATATTGTATCATGCTAAGAGACACAACATATCCAGTTGTCTTAATAATAATAAAATTAACTGGAACAGGATGATCCCCTCTACCACTGTACAATTAAGTCTTCCCACATTAGCCAGTTGTTTTTAGTGCTTATCATATGCTAATACCTGCCAGTGCTCAAGGTATGCTGAGTATTCCAACCTATATACCCATACTTCTTGGATAAAACATGGAAGTGATGGAAGTTTCCCAATAAAAGGCCAGTCTAAGCACAAAATCTTTGATAATCAGCCAGATGCTTACACATACCTGTAATCCTAGTACTTGGGATGCTGAGGCAGGAGGATTGTGGCAAGTTCAAGACCAGCCTGGGCTACATAGAGAGACCCTGGCTTGCTCAAGGCAAAGCAAGAGGCAGAGGTAGACACAGAGGAGTGTGGGTGGGCCGGCAAGCAGGCCTGCAATCCTAGCACTTGGGAGGCTGAGTCAAGAGGATCACCATGAGTTTGAGCCAGCCTCGGCTACACAGTGGGTTCAGGGCCAACCTGAACTACATAAGCAGCATAGGGCTGGGGAGATAGCTCAACAGCATAAGTGCCTGCCTGCCAAGCACAGGGTTCTGTGTTTGACCCCCAGTACTGCAAAAAAAAAAAAAAAAAAAAAAACCTACATAAGCAGGACCCCATCTGAAAAATAAGTAGGGAAGCAAGCAAACAGCAAGCAAGCTTTAATAATCTGCCTTGCTAGATATAAAGCCCTGGTTACATTAAGAATAATCTGAATTTGTTGAAACTGTACTTCCGATTTGATTTGAAACTATCTCATTGCTATCTGTTTATCAATAAAACTTTGAAAAAAAAAAAGAATAATCTGAGTAGAGAGTAAAGCTTAGAAACAGTGGTTGTATTTCTAGTAATACATATTTTACAACTATAAGCTTTTGTACTGATACATAATATTTTTAGTAGATAGTGGCAAGCATCATGATGTGTTCCTAATACTGACTTCAGAATCAGACAGACTTGAAAATCTGACTATGACTAGTTAATCTCATGACCTTGGACATAACTTCTCTGTGTATCAGTCTCTTGATCTATAGTATACATAATGCTACCTACCTTGTAAATTTGTTGTATAGATTGGAGATAATGTGAAAAATGCAGAGCCTAGCATTTGACACAGAAATTTGTAATAAAGATTATTATTGGTTTTGTGAAAAAAATTGAAATACATTTTAAATTTGGGCTATACATTTACCAACTAGGAAATGTAGTTTGAGAGACAGAAAATACCTGCTACCAAGTGGTCTGTTTAGGAGCTGAGGATATAATCCAGTTTTAGAACTTGCCTAACATGTGCAAGGCCCTGGCTTCAATCTCCAGCACTGCAGGAAAAAAAACAAAATTTTTTTTTTGTATTTTAGGGAAGGGTGTACAGGGTGTTCAGGGTCTCACTACTAGATTGGACTCATAGTGATCCGCCTGTTTACAGCCTCCGAAGGGCTGGGATTACAGGTACACGCCACCACAGCCAGTCTCTGCTGTCTCAGTGCGCCCCGGGGCGGGACCGACACAGCAGGCCCCGGGGATCAAACCCCCGGCCCCTGTGCCTGCTTGCAGGTGCTTTAATCCGCTGAGCTATCAAAAAATTATTTTAGACATAATTTTTTAATAATTAGATGTGCAAAATGAACTTTCTCAAAGTTCATTTTGTAATTATTCCAGTTTAAGAACTGAATTTTACCTACCCTATTATTCCATCATGATGGTGATGATGATGATGATAATATTATACACATATCTCAGAAACTGTGTCTATACTCATTAAATATGCAGAACAATCCTGAGTGTTAGCACAGTACCCACTCTACAGGTGAGCAAGCAAGTCACTCAAGTCAGAGAAGTCATTTAAGCAAGGTCACATCATTTAGTAAGTGGTAAAGCAAAGGTTCAAAATAATAGGTGCTCCAGAGTACATGCTTCTAGCCAGTATGCATGCTGCCTCTTTAGTTCCTTTTGCATTTGCTATTTAATACCATTTTGAAAAATTGATTATTTTATGGGAGATTGTTACTCTGCTTTTATTTAGTGTCCTCAGCATTCATTCCTAATTGTTTGGTTGGTTGATTGGTTGGGTTTTTTTGAGACAGAGTCTCACTATATAGTTCAGGCTGGCCTTGAGTTCCCTCGAGGCAGATTGGAAACCTGTTTCCAAGTTGAAAGTTTAACGTTTGTGTGAAAATCACTTGAGAGGAAAAATAGTATATAAATGGACTCAGGACCATTTTGAACTCTATAGAGAATGATACTGTAATCTGCTGAACCAGTGATTAAATTTTCTTATATTTGAGTTGCTTCTGTTCCTTCTGTATACGTTAAGTGCTAGGGTTCAAACCCTTTCACCTGGAGAAGATGACAGCTTTGCTTGGGACAGGCTCTGTCTTGGCCCTGGCCCAGTTTGTGAATCTTAACTGGTATTAGTTGTCCAAGTCTAATGCTTCATGTTCCTGACCATGAGTTGCTAATCTGATTCAGATCTCTAAGGCACTTCATTTCCATTGCTTGCCCCAGTCCAAGTACTAGTTTGCATATTTCCCATTCTGTCCTAAATACCAGACTTTTAAGCTCCTGATTGCTTGGTAGAAAGGTTCTGATTTTGCATCAATCCCAACTCAGGTTGTCCCTACCATTATGATTTTCTGGAAAGAGCAGTTGCCCCTGAGAAATGTTAATTTTTCATTCTTCTTACAAAACAAGCTTCTCAAGTAGAAACATAGATGCCGCTAGGCTGGGCTTCTAAAATGCCAGCCATCTATGGCAGATTGTCCTCTCCTCCCGTCTTTTCCTGTCCACTGTGGTAATTGAACCCAAGGCCTTTGCATGCTGGGCAAACATTCTTACCACTGAGCTATATCCTCAGCCCAGTCTCTCATTTTTTTACATTAAGTGAACATCTTTGTGGCTCAGTATTCAAGCATATCTGTGATTAGTTCCTGATGATAAATTCTTAGATAAGTGCTGGTTTTCAAAACTAAACATTTTGAGTCTTTGATGAATACTGCTATTTCCTTATAAGAGCATCCTACCCATTGCAGTTTCCAGTGGAAGGTCTTGGCACACAGGTGCTACTGTGTCCTCCCCAGGTTAAGAAAATAAAATAGGTTAGCCTGGGGACAGAATTTTGGGGGTGGGTTTGTTGTTTTTGTTTTTCTTTGAGATAATCTTTCCATGTAGCCCAGGCTGATCTTGAATTTAAAGCAATCCTCCTGCTTTAGCCTCCCCACCTCTGGAATTATAGTGTGTGCCACCACACCCAGTTTTGAAGGGCAGATTTAACATTAAATGATAGGCTAATTAACTCATTGTCTTGTA